TATATAATAGTCAATTTCTTAGAAGACCAAATTTAAATAATTTGATATAGCATTAAACATTTTAGATGGTACAAGCTAGACCAATATATGTATATGAATAGAAAATATTTGACCATCTTCTTGCTGGTCAACAATAAGGGTAGGATCGTAAATTGGGATTGTTGCGCTTTGGACAACCTTAACTTAATTATAAAACAGGAGATGAGGCTCTCTCGTTATTATTCTGAGTTGGCTCTAGTCAGAGAACTAGTATTGCAAAAGGCAGAAAGGAGATGGTGAGCTACTTTTGGGATTGCAAGACACTCGGGGTGGTGATCATGTTGTTGTTCATTCAGTCTTCAATGGCAGAATCAGATGAGCATCCATTATTATACGAGTCGTCAAGCAGAGAGGAGATGATCCAAATGGCTGGATACGGGGAGGAGAAGCTATCAACCGTCCTGGTTACCGGTGCCGTCCTTTGCGAAGCTTGCCTGCATGCTGAACCTCAACTTCGTGCATGGCCCATATCAGGTTTCATATAATTCGTTCATCATCATTGATTATTCATTACGATCTGCTTTGCTTTTCCTTCATGTTTATGACTCTCAAATTCTGCAGATACAAACCTACATATTTATAACGTTGATTATCTATTCTCCTTCTCAACTATTTATCTTCTTTGTGGAAGTTAGAACCCCTTTATATATATAGATCATCTGAGGAATATGCATATAAAAATTCAAATGCATCCATGTTAGTACTAAGGAAAACAATACAACCATGTATCAGAAAACTACGGCAAGCACCCAGGGAAAGCCTCTTCTCATGACAAGTTTGTGACTCTAATTATATTCATAACTCTCAGGTTGAAAGAGTGAGTCTTGGTTCTAAATCATATATAGTCCAAATCTTTGGAAAACCAACCTCGTTAATCCTGGAACTCCTTTCTTTACAACAAGTTTTTCGGCCTTCATTTAATCTTATAATCAGCCACCATGCTTAATGTGTCAAGTTACCTAATTTTTTCCAACCCAATGCACTTATTGCCTTCAGATATTCCAACATATACCAAGCATATTATATGCATAATAAGTGCTTGTCTTAGGCAAAATTAATATCCTTCAAACAAAGATCCGTGAATTACAATAATGTTAGTGTGCGTGTATATATATATATATATATATTAAATTTTTTAAGTGTTGCTTTGGTTGCGTTGGATCCTCGGTTTCAGCAGTTGCAATATCAAACAAACTTGAGATCAAAGAAACTTGAACGTCATAGAAAGTATCGGTGAAAAGTCACAACCATGTTTCCAAACTGCAAAACCAAGCAATATTTAAAAAACAAGACAGATATATTAATGGACAATAATCTTCGATCTCAACTAAATCGTGCTATGGGTTTCTTTTGCTGCGTCCCCTCTTGGCCAGAGGCAGACAGATTCAGACCCATTGCCTGGACCGCTGTCGTTTAGAAATTAATGCCATGATTATTTTCGATTTCATCTCATTATTGTAGCATATATATGGTAGTACACACGAACAATATCGGAATGAACCCCCATTTAATTAATTAGGAGCAAACAACATCTTTCACATTAATCATTATATTAATTGCATGAGTTGGACAGCTTAATTGTATTAATTAGTCCATAAAGTCTACAAAAGAAACGCCCAATTAGTTAATTGAATGTGAGATCATCATCAAATTGAAGTTGACAATGGACCATATTATTATTATTATTTTTCCATTTCGTGGTGGGATTGATGTACTAACCCCCTTGAGCCAAACCCTGGAACGTGTTGAGTTCCTTGTTTAAACAACACGACAAAGAGATCAAGTTGAGTAATCAACTTAATTTCCACAAGACACTTGCCTTTTAAGTGGAACATCATGAGTTAGTTGTCTTCTCTTCAACATCGATCATCATTTTGCTCGATTTCTAAACTCTCCACAGGTGCTTTGGTGGCTGTTAAATGCCAAACTCCTTGTAAGAGAATATCGGGTTCAGCACAAGCAGTCACCGATGAATATGGCGATTTTCTCATCGATCTTCCTTCCCACCTCCATGGAATTCCCAATTTGCCAAAGATATGTGCAGTTAAAGTCCTTCGGATACCAAAGAACTCCATGTGCCGACCAGCATTCGTCAAGAAACACAAGGGGCTAAGATTTTCATCAGTTGGGAATGGCATCCGCACTTACACAGCTGGGAGGATAAGGTTCCAGCATATAACATCTAAACCTTTGAAAGCATGCATCGGAAGGGCTAAGCAGTGACAAACATATAGCATGAGTGATACCTGGTTGATACACTGTGATATGGCAAATGGCTCATTTAGATGGCGCTTCAGTCACAGTACTGAGTTTCAAAGCTGCAGTCTCCTTCCTATACATGCTTGTAATATACATATTCTAATGTAAATACATAACAATATTTTGTCTTATATCGAGCTTTTGAGTTGTCAGAATCAAATAAACTTGCATGTATTAAACGAGTTATTTCAAGGTTGAAATGAAACAATCAAAACATGACAAAAACGCGATGCTCAAGGAGTATCCCTTTACATATTTGGCAACCATAAAGCAACCTCAAGGTCAACTGACATACAAATTCACACACATACTTCATAATGACAAATACATTCTTCAAGAGGGACCTGAAAGCATCCAAAACAGTCAGGACTTTGTAATGTCTGACCCTGATCTAGAAACTACGTATTTTGCAACATCAGCACAGCAAGTAAGCTTATCTGCTTTCTCATCTGGGATTTCAATGGAGAATTCTTCCTCGAATGCCATAACAAGTTCAACCCTATCTAAGCTATCCAGGCACAAATCTTTTCGAAAATCAGCTGTTTCAGTTACCTATTTGATAGGCAGAAAGTTAGATTCTTGTTCATAGCTCAAAACAATAATAGGATAAGAAATTACAAACAGCTATATAAAACTTGTACAATTTATAAATGGTTCCCACAGTCAATGAGATTGAGATTCCATCCTAAACAAATATGAGACAAATAGTTGAGAAGATAATAGGCAAACCAAGTTAGGAATAGCAGTCTATCACCTTACTGGCATCGATTTTATCATACTTCTTAACCAATCCAATCACTCGATCCATTATTTGAGCATTGCTAGCACCTGTTGATGTACATATCTGGTGTCTGAGTAGCTTGAACATGTTTCCTCCGCTAGTGAAAAAGCCCCATTCTCCAGTTGACTTCCTCGTGCTCACATGCCTCAAGATGGCACTTCTGATGCTTTGCATATTGAGGAGAGCTTCAAAGCAGTAAATTTTTATCACAAGCCTGCGAACCTAGATTTGAATTGCATAAAAAAGTTCAGATAAGTTTAACTAAGTGAGCGGCAATATAATGATCAATGAATTGTATTAAAGATAAGTACTCGACATCTATGCAGCAACATTTAAGACAGTTTCACTAGGATTTCTGTGCATTTAGAACTGTCCATTGTCCTGTCTTGCAAATGTTATGTTGTAACTAAATAAGTAAATATGTAAACAAGACTTAACAGCAGTAAACAGGTAACTTATTGCTTATATAGCTGATGATGCTGGGCAAATTGTCCCAGAAAGAGAAGCAGGTCATCAAAAGATACTGTAAACACTGGAGATGCATTTTATTTGCTAGTGATTTGTCAGCAGCATATGAATTGGTGCTTGGGACCACAGACTGAATGATATTTGTGAGGGAAACTTCAGGGAAAATCCCAGGTTAAAACAAGCAAGGCAGGGAGGAAAACAAACTGCAAAGCATGTGACTATCAATAGCATTAAAATCACTATTTCATCCACTAACTATGGCATTCGGCCAAATAACAAATACTAACTAATAGTACACTACTCAATAAGCTCGACAAAAACAAAACTTTTAAGAGCTATTGAAACAATGAAAAGGAAAGGGCATTGATGCAATTCAGATGAGAGGAGATACAAGAGTCAATGAGCATGTAGAAGAAAACAAAAAAGCCATGATTTACATGACTAGGAAAGGCATTATCAATAGGTCGGTATGTGAAGCCGAAGTGGGCCTTTCTCCCATGTCATCTTCTGTTTACATGATTCATTCGTTAACCATTAGCATTCTCTTACACTTTTGCCAGGATGGAGCCATAGATGAATGGGTTCAATCAAATGCAGGGGTTGAGCAGCACCATCAGCATCATACAAAACCTTATACCCAATAAATATAAACACTGTGTTGAACATTCCTTTGTAAAAAAGGAAAAACAAAAAAACATACCCAGCGATGAAAACTAGAAAAGCAAACTAAAAAGAGAAAGAGAAAGGGAGAGTTGGTAGGAAGTAGAAAGTAGAAACTGGTGACTCACGGGACTGCCTCTGTTGAGTGCCTGCTTGGGTTGGGAGTTTGCACTTTGAATAACGTAATGGACCAGGTGGGCTATGGCTCTTCGGCTATTATGTGCTTGCTTTATTGCCGCAAAGAAAAATTTCAACTTTCGAAGCTTTTGTACCACATTCGGACAGGAGTTGGGAGTGTTGGAAGGCTTCCATTCCACCTAATTCCACTTCTATCATCAGCAACTAACAGGGCTACGACTTGGGCCTCTTGATGCTGATAGGTCTTCTACACACCATTTTTTATGTGGTGCATACGTCTTCTACACACTTTGTGTGCCCATTTTCAAACATAAAAAGGCCCACAACACTTTGTATTTTATTATTTTTTTCACTTTTTGTACAACATTAAAGAAATCCATGAGCCCCTATAGATGATGTTCCTTTCTTTGGCTACAGAAAAGAGGAAAATTTTCCCACAAAAATTTTGGTTTTTCTTCTAGATTAGTATCTCTTTTTCATTAAGAAAAAGTGTCGAAATTATAATATTGAGATTTTGTTGAGAAAAGGGTGGGAACCCATAGCTTCCCACAATCCAAAAACTTTATAGCAATATATCTATATATATATATATATAAAATCCTATGTGAAGCAAACAAGAAAGGAAAACTACAGAGTGGTATTATTATTGTTATTGTAAATATATAGAAAAACGGAAAGGGGAAGGAGGAATTAAAAATTGAAGTGCAATGATATAAAGCAGGGGGGGGGCTGAAACAGAGTTTGGGAAGTAAGCCAGGCATTAGGAGTTGGGCAACAAACGGGGACAAGAGGGAGGCTAATTTCATAGCCCCCAACACCAAAAGGAAAACAGAGAAAAGAAGACTTTGTCAAAAGATGACGTGACCATCGTCCGTCCATCCATCCATCCCCATTCCTGATTCCCTCCACCCCTCACTCCCACTACATCATCAACACAACACTTCCTAATCTTCCAAACTCATCGGAGAATTCTCTTCTTTCCTTTTTTTCTTTTGGCAAAAAGATATACTTCTTCTTCTTCTTCCCTTTAAATTTTTACAAAATTCTCCCAATTGGGCATCTGGGTGTGGTTTTATTTAAAAGGGGATGGGGTTGGTATCAGTTGTAATTGGGGAATCATAAATCAATGTTGAGATTCTGTGAGTGGTGGGGATTTGAGTTCTCTCCGCTTTTGCTTTTTATTAGAGTCTTATGCTCTTATTGACAGAGAATCACCGCACTTAATTAGTCATTCATATAAAAAGGAAAGAAAATAACAAGTGATAAATCGATAATCAATAGTGAAATAATAGTTAATAATAAAAAAAATATTACTTAAAAAATGGGGAATGTGAATGGAAGAGAAGATGGGAGTAGCAGCACATCAGGGGTTGAAGAAGAAGGAGGTAACAGTGTTCACGAAGCCATGGCTGCACCCATGGGTCACTCCCCTCCTCACAGCCCCACAGCCACCCACTCTCCTCTCATGTTTACTCCTCAGGTACGCTTTTTTTAATTTTTCTAAAAGCAAACAATTTTCCTTTTTCTGACTTTTGTTGCTTGGATTTCGGGGATTCGGATTTCATGAAATGTGTTTTATTTTTGATGCATGGGGTCTGGAATCATTGCTTCAATTTATCAGGGATTCAATCCTAGGTTGTGTCTGAGATCCTTTAAAAAATTCCATGCTGGGTCTGTGTTCTTGTTGCAGGAAAGTCTGGTTTTTTTTCGTTGCAATTTGGTTGGAGAGTCTTAGTGAGGTCCCTTTGTTTGTCAATTTAAGGAGATCCTATTGGGTTTTCATAATGCTTGTTTCATATAACTTGTGCAAGAATTCATAGGCGTTGTAAAGGCCCTCAGGTAGAGAAAAATCTTCTTATGAGGATATTGTATGTGTTTAATATGAGATAAGCTTAAAATGATTCCTTTTGGGCGTGAATGGCGATAAAATGTGGTCACTTGATCATGGGTATGCTACTGTCTATGCTCTCTTTGGCAGGAAGTGGCAAATTTTTATGTTGATGCTCTTTTGAAATGAAACTTCCTTTTGTAGCTTTTAGACTGAGGTTGCATGATGGATGAAATCAGCCTAATTTATATGTTGTCTTTGATGCAGCCTTGGTTAGCAGTTTGGGAAGTTTTAATGTGCAGGGGTCCAGGGATAGGGGCCAATACGTAGTTTCTTGGAATATTGCAAATTAAGGATTTTTGAATAATTTAGCTCAGAATCTAGGAATTTAGAGTTTGATAATTCTCTTGGTTTTCAATTTTGGTTTTAACTTGTTTTTGTGGGAACTTCTTCCTTTGTAGCAGTCCTAATATCCTGCGAGTCAAGGAATATTCTTATACGTCCCCTAAAACACTTCATAGCCTTCTTGCCATTTTCTGCTTGTAGTACTCGTACATTCTGTCAGTTTGGGCTCCTTTATGGAGTTCTAGCAACATATTTTTGCTCATCGGCCTCTTGCTTTCCCTTTCTAGTCCTAAATCCCAAAACCCTTTTCTTCTCCTAATTCAAGTCATGCCTTAATTTTCTTAAGCCTAAGCCCATCACACGTCACTTTGGAGGATTTCTGAAATCTGTTTTTTTCTTAATCTTGTTTTGGTCTGTCTATGGATCATCACCAGACAAATAGGAACTTGTGAAACTTGTATATATTTTATAGTGAACTCTTTTCCCGTATGCTAGTATAGGAACATGCACATTAGTCATTCTTTCCAATTTTTTAGTAGCTGGAACATGCCTGTTGTTCATTGTGATATCTATTCCTCTGAAAACAGTGTCAATTTTATCTTGGTTTGCCTTTTCTCATCCCAGGTTCCCATTGTTCCTTTACAAAGACCTGACGAAATACACACACCAAGCCAATCATGGTTGCAGGCGACAATAGGATATGAGGATAACTGCACTGAGAAGGGAATTCCAACAATGATTACGTGGGCCTATGGTGGCAAAGAAGTAGCTGTGGAGGGGTCATGGGATAATTGGAAGACAAGGTTCCTGATATTCAATGCCTTATACATTTTTTATTAAAAGAAATATAGTTAGCTCTTTGTGAACTGCTTTGCAGGTCTGAAATATAACTTGTTTGCCATCTTGATCAGAATTCCTTTGCAGAGATGCGGAAAAGACTTCACTATTATGAAAGTATTACCGTCAGGTGTTTACCAGTATAGGTTCATTGTTGATGGACAATGGAGGTATGCTCCTGACTTGCCATGGGCACAAGATGATGTGGGTAATGCTAACAACATTTTGGACTTGCAGGTAAATTCTTTCATCTTCTTATGGTAAATGTGCACTAGCATTTTATTAGTTTGATATTTGTAGTTTATAGCATTCCCAACTATTGTTTTTATAGGATATGAGTGCTTCTCTTTCTATATGTAGGCACGCATGAATAGATTCTCTCTAGTGCTGATGAGATGAGTTTTATTCTTCTGAACTCCTTTCAATTCAGCTGTCTGTCTCAAATTAGCTTTACATGCAAAGATACATTGATTCAACTCTATCAAGGTTCATGCTTTGGAGAAACTGCATATTTCTCTCACAATCCCTGTTTTCCTTTACTTGTGGCCTTCGCACTTTCAGCTTGGAATAAAGTCATGCCTTGGTGGTGTTTTCTGATGATACTGATAAAATTGTTCTCGTCTAGCTTGGTATTGTTGTTGTGTCTGAGGCTCAAACAAAGCAACATCATTAACAGACAACGTAAAAAGCACATATTTGTAGTCATCTTCTTTTTTCTACTTCCCTTTGGATTCCTAGGGCATCTTCTTTTCATGTGCATTTGTTGGTGGGGATGTAACATACAGAATAGCAGCTTTCCTTTCTTCAGCAGCCAGAAAAGTGTGCGGAGAGAGACAGAGGAGGGTTGAGGAGGGAGCATTAGTATGTAAAGGACTTGCCACCTTTTGCTTGACTACGTTGCCAGTATCTTTTTAGATATTTGAACCTTTCGTACAATTCTCTAGTTTTAGATGCAAATATATGGGTTCAAATGGTCTTCAACAGAACACGGGGAATGCTCTAGAAGGATATTTTAGATAGTGTCTTTAACGGCATAGTTTGTTTTGTCCTTCAATTTGGCATTCACTTGTTTTCTAGAAGCGTTAGTGAAAAACTGAAAGCAAGTACCAGTGGACTGATTTAGTTATTTTTGTTCCACAATGATTAAAAGCATACTCTCACTTAGCTGACATTCTGTTTTTTACGTACTGTTAAAGTGCTATATTCGTCACACAGGTTTGGCTATAATCAACATCATATGTGAGTGGCACTTTTAATGTACTTTTGTGGATGTGCAGGAGTACTAATGTGCATTCTTGCTTGTATTAGTGTCATGTTTCTCCCTTTGCTTCTTCACCTTGATTGATGCTTAGCTTTCACAAACTCTTTAATTAGAAATATGCTAATTGTGAAGAATACTATGCAGGATTATGTCCCAGAAGATCTTGAAAGCATATCAAGTTTTGAACCTCCTCAGTCTCCAGAGTCCAGCTATAGTAACTTGCCACTTGGAACTGAAGATTTTGCTAAGGAGCCACCGCTAGTTCCTCCGCACCTACAACTGCCACTGCTTAATCTGCCTGCATCTCACATGGAGATTCCACCTCCTACGTCAAGACCTAAACATGTAATTCTGAATCATCTTTACATTCAAAAGGGGAAGATTGGCCAACCTGTGGTGGCACTTGGTTCAACTCATCGATTTTTGGCCAAGTATGTGACCGTGGTGCTCTACAAGCCTGTGCAGCGGTAGTCTTAGATGGCGATGACTATGTGGACCTTGAAGTCTCCATTGAGCATATGTGGTTAATATAATTATCACGGTGTAGATGTTGTGCCGATGACTTTCAGTAGCTTAGGAAGGTGTCACCATGTGAAAACTTGAAAGATATTCTATTTTTATCCAAGGAAATATTTTGTGATCATTGATCCCCTCATAGTGATTCTTGTTCTTGTTGCGCCAGTTTTCTGCCCTTGCACTAGAAAGTTAAGAGAACTGTGGTTTATTTTTTCAATTTATCTTCTGCTTTCTAGCATGCCATCCATTTCCTAAGCCTCTTGCATATCTCCAATGGCTTATCCATTCCCTAAGCAAATCAAAATTTTGCTTTGTTTTTGGTTTGAGTTGTACAATAGTTTCAATTCAGTATGTTGCGGGTGTTTGTTTTATCTTCTTCTCGAAGTCTTTTACTCACTATTTATATACAAGTATTGAGAGTGCAAAGGACAATTATGCGAGTCTCCCGGAGGCAGCAGGGATAGCTTCTTATTCATCTCGCAACAGCCAAGAGATGCTAGTAACAAGCCGTGTGAAGAAAAAGCAAATTTCTGCTATTAGGCATAAAACAAAAGCATTACCTCCTCTTCAATGAGAGGGGAAAAGCATGTACATCAATGGTCATAAAAATTTTGTCTGTAACAGCTATGTGGTATTTCCCTTCCCGTCTCAAAATTTTTAAACCATTTCTTCTGACTTTCACGTCTATTTAAAAACCGGACATCCTTCAACTGTGATACCCGGTGCTGTAGGACATGATGCCAGAGGACAATGATCAATCTCAGTGCCCCACCATTTCACGTTATGGCCCTCGTTTTGCAAAGCGAAGAACAGTAAAACACCCATGAAGGCAGTTCCAGCATCTAATGCTGCAGATAGAACATAGTTATATTTCTGCCACCAGCGCTTGTGGTACCTAAACACGAAATAGTTGAAAATGGTTCCAGTAATGAGCCAGCTCGCAATGTTGGTGGGAGTTGCAGGTGGCATTCCGGCAAAACCATATGATATAACTGGTATGTTAATCAAGGGAATCCATTTCTTTTCAGGGAAGATCTTGCTCAGTACCCAGACAGGAACAGGCAACACCGCTCCAATGAGGAACAACCATACTAAGTTGCGGTACAGCCCTCCTGGTCCAAAAAGTCTCTTTGGTCCAATTAGACCCCAGATAACAGAAGCATCAAAGGTGACTCGATATTTAGGACAAGTCCATGGGCTTTCAGGATGCTTTCCTTCTACATCACAGATGTTGTCAATGCTATCTAACATCCACCATGCAACTGCAAGGTTGACAGTACCTGCAACTAGAGTTCCCACAAGCTGGGAAAGAATAAAAACAGGTTCAATCATTTTACACTACATGAAAAGAAGATCTTTAGAAGTCTTAATGTAAAGCTCGTTGACAGAAGCTACCTGAGCTGTGTACATGCAGCGCGGAGGGATTTTCATGTAGTGCCCGAGTTTAAGATCAGATAAGAAAGAAAGAGCATGAATAGTGCTGATCCGCCCATAAATCTTGAAAAGCAGGTTCGCAATGGGCTTTCCAGGTAATACATAACCAATTATGAACTGGGCTATAATGTCATATCCTGGTTGCTGCAAAGTTTCAGCAAGTAGACTGATTTTAGAAACTATATAATCAAGTTTATTTCATTCCAGCAAAGTCTCAACAAAAGAGAAGCAGAATTTACCTGGTTGGTAGTTGCTTGGATGACTCCAATAGGAAGGGTGACAATCCAAGCCAAGCCAAACGCAAAGAGCATACCCCACCATGGCAGCTGTACCTCATCCTTATCTACAAAAGACATCAAGAGTGATAGAACAATACTTCCAATCAATAAAATGAAAAACCACCATTCAGGCACTTGTTTGTAGCTTTTCATCAGCCTTGCATGGATGTCCAGCTTCACATTCTTCATTGCTGATCGGCTCTGCTTCAGAATATCACTAGGCAAAAGAAATTGAGAATGTTTAGTTGACCTGAATGAGAAATTTCTGATGACAAAAGCATACAGACTCAAGGACTCTTTGTAATCTCTCCTATCAATATCTTATTACAAAAGGTTGACGAACATACTTGCAAATATAAGTAAAGTATAAATTATAGTTAAGAAAACTTTAGCATAATTCAAAAGGCCACTGATGACATTACTCAAAAGTCTTAAAAAGGCACAAAGTGTACCTGCCATGAAACAATGCCACATGAGTGAGGGTTGCTGTGAATCGTGCAAATCCTGATCCGATAGATAGGGCAAAAAGAGGGCTAAGATAGAGTTTCCCATAACTGTTATAAGCAGAAATATTTAGATCATACTGTGGTGTCAAAATCTTAGTTGTATCATATTTATGCCCACTGGAAGTAAACAGCTGATTCGAGAATATTGGGAATTTGCGAGCATCAAAAGTGTCAAACTTCCAATAACACAGAGGGACAATGATGTAGATAAACATGACAAAGCCAATCCCCACGTTGAGAATTGAGGACCAGGGTGTAACCAATGGACTGCCATGGTAAGCTGAGATCCCAGCCCAGTCAAGGGTGAAGGCACCAATGCCAAGTCCATGGTAACCAGACCCGATTTGCTGAGCTGTGATACTATGGGGCCACACCCAACACACCCATGAGAAGAATGTCAAGACTGGGAATAAATAGCCAGGGAAAGCATAATAAGCAAAGCTTGCCACAAGTGCAACAAGAAAAAATTTCATTCGAGTCAAGCCTTTCTTGTTTGTGTCCTTTTCATGGAGTGCTCTGCAACAAAAAAAGTTGAGAATGGAAAATTACAAAGTGATTGAGATGATCAAATTTATCTTGGTGGAAATAAAACTAAAACCAGGCATCGCATCTTCTTAATGAGTTCCTTCACACAAAGAATAGATTTATCCATGATCTTCAGGATATAATCAGAAGCAAAATCTTAATCACATGCAAGAATATCAAGTAAATTGTGCAGCATCCAGTTGTCAGTACTTTTATACTCTTGGTGTTATGCCTCGTGTCCTCAGAGAGAATATTATTGCAATTGACAGCTTTTGAAACAAATTCTCCTTGAATGAACATGCACTTTGTTATGATATAAGAAAAGGATTCACCTTTTCTTCCATTAGAGTTTAAGAGGGATAATTGCACAGTTGCATTCTTGTTTTTGATTACTCAGATATGTTTAACTTATTCATTCAACCAAAAGACATCATCCAAAGCCCAACTCACAGATGCTTGCACTGTTTATTTATGCATCTGATATCACTATCTCAAAAGCTTTTGAGTGATGAAATGTTGGGGCAGCAGCAGAATTCAAACTTCTACGAGAACAAACCGTCACCATCCATTTTGACGCAGAGAATATCAGTATGGAAATAGCAAAACTTGTAGCTCTACTCAGTATGTAGGTCAAGCCAAACTGAAATAATTGCATAGTTTTGGTAGTTCACGGGAAAAGGAGAGGCTTCTGTTACCTCGGGACCCAGTGAACGAAAAGTCTAAGATTCTAAAGCTAGACCTTTTTTCTTATCTCTTTCTAAGAGATTTCCTACCGGCCAAGCAGAAAATCATGATAAGGTAAAAGAAGGGTAATGATCGTAAAGGACAGACCTAAATAGAGAAACCTGAGCCAGGTTTGACGGCCACCACATTTCTGCAGGATCAACCAGGTACCTCCGAAGCATACCAGCCCATCCATACCCCAAAATCTGCATATCATCATGATCAATAATATTACTATTAGATGAACCAAATACACTAAATTTATAGTTGAAACAGCCAAATAGACTGTCATTTTTAATTGTGAGAAAAAGTCCAGAAAATTTAAGCAATTCAGAGTCCCTGCAATTGACAGTTTCTCTATCAGCTCCATGAGAAGTATAAATTGAGGGGGGAAATAACTGAATTCTGGGATAGGCTTTCTTAAAAGAACCCCCCGCCCTTCTCATAGCTGGAATGAAGTGTACAGTGACGACCTGCACATATCTTCTAATTAAAAATCTCCTCAAAAAGTTATAATTGCAACAACTTTGGTGGTAACATCAATTTCACTTGTCGATGCAAGTTTCAGACAACCTCATCACTATCAAGAGTCAAAGATTCAGTTAATTAAACCAATTTTAAAATACTATCAGTCTTGCCGTATGCTATAGTAATTACAAACCACAACAATAATAAAATAACATAAAAAGGGAGTGAGAACAGCCGAGATTGATTAATAAGCAAGGGACAAAAGAAAAAGAGTAGCAAAAGAAGTGTTAATAAATAACCTGAGTAGTCAAGACGATAAGGAGGCCACATAGAAAATTCAAGCTCTGTTTATAATAAGCCTTCATGACAGTAATGGCACCAATGGAGTAAGCATCACCCCCACCAAAAGACACCCCACAATTGGCGAAGATGGTGATGATGACATGCTCCTTCATGTTGAAGGGCCCAGGATTGAGGCTAAAGCGCCACCCCAGAAGACTGTACTCCCTGGTTGGCAGAGTCCTGGCCATGAACTTGCCAATGGGCAAGACAGAGATTTGCATGAGGATTGCAGAGATGGTGAGTGGTTGCGTGCGGTAGGTGAAGAAAGTGTTGAGAAAGATTAGGAGCATGCATGATGTCAAACCAAGAAACCATGCACGAAAGGTCATCACCGGCAGGGTTGGGTCATCGGTTTCGGGCACCACCAACGCCACCTCCTCCACCGGACTCCTATCATCCTCGGCGGCGTTCCCATTTGGTTTCTCTGGGTCCTCACGGTTCTTTGTGGCCATTGAAGCAGGAAAGGCTAATGGTAAGAGCAAGTAGAGTTGTCCGTCTTATCTGTAGTTTAACAAGACGGGAAGAAAAGTGAATTAGCCCAAGAGATGCAGCTTTGGAGTGAAGTAAGTTGGAGTTTGGTCTTTTCTGTCGAAAAGTTGTGTCAACAGCGAGGTGGTTATATAAGGAAGGACCTAGGGGGTCGGGCCACTGCTTCTGCCTGCGCTGGGGAGTGGGGACTCGGGACAGAGAGATGTTATGACAAAAACGCCCTTTCTTCTTCCTATTTTACAAAGATGGCATTATCTAAAGCTTGTATCTATTCAATTATATATATATGTTTAAATATACTTGCCAGAACATACAACAACGTAATCCAAAATGAAAATCAATTCACCGATCACCTCCTTAGTTTATATTACAATATTTCCAGACAATAGACAACTAACTCCTGTTGTTCAATCTAGATGCAGCCTCCACGGGTTACTACTTACTCTCAAACGCTTGATTATACACATTTTTTTTTGAAGAATTGCACCTGCATCTCATCATCATCTGATTTTCTTACTGCTAGTATTTGTACTTGTCTACCGGGCCAGCTAGCAAGGTCCTGCCCCCAAGGCCCCAATTCTTCACCATACTGACAAAGCATACGACAAAACATATTTGCTTTCTCCTTAAATTAATCAATAATGCTAGTTAATGGTACTAGGATTATGTTTTTCTACGAGATTAGTGGCAGTTTTGTCAATTCAAAGACGAGGATCAATTGGTAAATCTCTGATTGCACAGTTTGCTTTAACTAGTTAAATTTTACTAAATGGAAAGTGATTAATATTTTTGACCCGCTATTCATCCGTCCATTATTACTACTGATTCTAGTTTTATGGAAGTGGGAGGTTTGGACTTTGGGAGGAGACACGTGCTTTCAATCGTCCGACACACTCTCGTCTTGTTCTTAGCGAAACCCAAGCTGTCTTCACATGTGGTTTTTCCAAGCCCGGGACCCACAAGAGACCGTCCACGTCGGATGTCGTGGACCCCGATGTGCTTCCGTAAGCTAACGCCGTGATCAGCATCAGTCGCCCTGCATGAGGGACGCCGTTATTTCCCAACAGTTGGTAGCCACGGAGGACAAACACCTCGTGGCCTACCCATGTCTGGTTGGGGAAAGAGACAAGGAGAGTGGAAGCCACTTGGCAAAAACTAATGGACAATCATGCACTTAGGATTTGAGCCCGTCAGCTGCGAAACCACGTGGTGACATACTGATCAATGTTCCGACTTTCCAAAAGTGTAAAGACCAAATCTATAAACTTCCGCCATCCTTAAATCCTCACCTAGCTGTTGCAAACATGGCGGCATGGTGCATTTTTATCACTATAGATAATGTAGAGCATAAAATTTCTTTGCATCTTTGAAATTGGGTTAATTTTATCCATCACCCATGGTGGGTTGGCTGAGGGTCCAATTTGACAGCACAAAAACTAAAACTTCCCTCTCTAACTCCAACCAATTAATAATCTCATCAAGTCGTAATAGATATATCAGAAAAGCATATGCATCAGCATTAAACACTATGTATATTTGATTTATTGCAACTTGAGGTGTTTTTCTTTTTGTGCAGCAGCAATAAGTTTGCTGAATGTTCTTTAGTGATAAGGATATGATCAATTGCAAGGTGGGCGGGAAGTACATGGAATGAAGAGGCGTGCATTTGATAGAAACATGAAAGCCGCATTGCTTTCCTTTTATATCTTTGAATGTGGTGGGGTAGAGCGGAGACTTTGGGAAGGGTGGAGGTGAATCCACGAAATAGCAGACGGAGGACTGCAGACCGATCCTTTCCCCATTGGTGGAGGGACCCTAGACTTTGCTGAGTTCTCCGCTGTGGTTGACTCTCCCCTCTAAAGGACCTTATTCCTTCACTCCGCATTGCATGTGCCCCCAGCCAATGAAACCAAAACTAGATACATACATACATACATACATACATACATACATACATATATGAAATATTCTTACCTTGGTTCATATATAATTGATAATTGATAATTGATTTTATGCATTTTCTGCATCATGCTTGGTCACCATCAATTTCAACCTTCCCGTCGCATCCTTTGCAAGCATTAATTGTACCATGGTGTCGTTGTTGGAGATATACGCGATAGTTTCTGTTGACTAAACACAAAATGTTGTACAAAATTAAACCAGATAACTTTTATCAGTATCTAGAAACTAACGAGTTGGAAATGATTAAATAACATTAGCTCTGATATGCGGATCAGAGTTAAATGATGTTGATCTTTTACAGTACGTAAACGTGCAAAAACAAGTACCTCGATCTAGATTGGACGCCATTTGAGTGCGTGGAGCATGTCTTTCCCCAGAGACATTGATACATGAACGAGATAAGGTAAGCTGTTACTTGCAAAAAAGCTACAGGCCTTGACAACTCACCATCCTCTGGCCATAGAATGTGGGAGGACCTTCTCAGTCAGGTCATCAAAAAGTGATGGACCAATCAAGTAAGAAGAGAATTGTAAAGGTCTTTTTGTATTTTTTTTCCCTTAAAAACTGAAGGTTGTCTGGGAAAATTCAGACTAATTCAAAACCCAGGATGGGTTTTGAAGCCATTCTGTTGAAGCCTTTTCTGCCAGCTCAAGTAAGGGTAAGGCCTCACTATAATTTCCTTAGCATTAATTTGCTTTAATTGTTGAGGTTTTACCACCAAATTAGTCCAAAATTAGGTTGTGCACGGCATCCTTTAATTCCTTTTGTAAGTACTTACTGGTCAAGAATCAAGATAGTCCCTTTTACCATCGCAGGAAAAGAAGAACAATTTTTCACTTGGCAGATGCATGTAGGTATTCCTGTAAAGAGCTTCTTACCGTTTTGAGTAAGTTTCTTGAGAGAAATTAAAAGATATAGAAATTTAGAATATATAGAGGAAAAGAAAGGAAAAGGAAAGAGACTAGAAAAACTAGAGTCGTTGGCCTCATCCCCTTCCCATGATCCCATCAATGCCCCTGCATGTATTTTTTTTTCCCAACAAAACCAACTTACATTCACCCCAAACGAAACCTGATATGTGGCCAAAAATTTCCAGATTAGATTGAAGAAGACCCGGCCTCCACCACATCAAACCAAAATAAGGTGGGGCTCCGGAGTTCACCTTCTAACGGTCACTTGATGAGACAGGAAGACTCTAAATAGCTTAATTAATTGCATAGAAAAAATTTCCAACTTGCATTACATCATGTTGATTTGTGAAAGATTGTGACCAGGTCTTCAACTTCTAGTAGACGACTTGTTTCATGATTCATTCGTGTTCACTTTGGCAACAACTTTGAAAAGAGTATGCTCTATATAGATGTTAATTGTGTCGTAAACCTGATCATGATGCCTTCTCACCTGTGTAAGAATGCTAGTATATATAGATGTACCATGCACGTTCTTTCTGTGATTTCAATAGATTATGCCCTTAATTCTTGGTCCTGCATTTGGCTTAAGCCACCAAGGATTCCTCTCGGCCATGTCATACACTGCTGCAATGCCATTATATGTTTACTCCATTCGATGACAAAAAGCAAAGAAAAAGTTAACTTTAGAAGATATGGGCTCGTGTGTTTTCAAATGCGGCAAGAGAGAAAGCTTTTCGCTTTCAATCAATTGTGTTAAATTGTTGGTGATGATTCTCTATGCGAACGGTTCAAGGACTGGGAAGACAGATCCACAGGGAAAAACATCCTAGTTCATTTTCATTTCAATTTATGAAGGGAAAAAGCCCTGGACCTCGAGGTTGTAGGCCTAGTTCTGATGCACCCGACTTGAAGCCTTAAGGGGACTACTGGGCCTTCTTAATTACTATCAGAAAGATTGGAATCTAAAGGGGTCCCCTCTTCCACTAACTAATCGTGACAGAGAGAGAAGTAAAACTCTTTGCTTTCTGCAAGTGTTAATCTTTGCTTTTTTTCAGCAAGGACCGTGCAAGGTACCACCCCACCATATGCTCAAAGAGACAATAGTCACATTGACTATGACCTCACTACTCTGCTCTACCTTTCGTGTGTTAGGCCTTAGGCCTGAGCCGTAGATTTTCTATTAGCATAAAAAAGGTGCTGCCCACCCAATGGCCCCGTGGTCCAGTTCGATTGCTTTCGTATATCGGTTTACTATTGTCACGGCGTTGCTTTGCACCTTGCAGCAAGGATATATCGGCAAGTAGTGCAACCTGCACAAAATAAAGTCCAACCGATAATGTCAACTTCAAATCTCCAATTATTCCATAATGCATAGACATCCACATTTCAGCAGCGGTTAAACAATTTACCATTATTCTGTACAAGAGACTATTAAATTTAATTCTATCTTTCAAGCTTCACCCAGCATGGGAAACTACATGTTCCGAGTTTCAGTCTTTGTAGTTTTGACAGATACAGACCGAGTTGGTATGGACCAAGGGCATCCCGCATGAGTGGCTCATATAGTGTTGCCTTCTCAAATAGTGCGAGGGGCATTGAGTGTTCATATACGGATTTGTGTGTAGAATTCTCCCCCTGCTATCCTCCACAAGTCCTAAGACCTTGCAGAATTTGCCAGTGTTGGGTTTGACTGGCTGTCAAGTATGCACCATGAGTGGAAACGCAGGCTCCTTGACGACATCAATTTTCACCAAATATCGTCAAGAATATTAACTCAATTGCGCTCTCACACCAAACAATATTTCCAGGTTTTAGTTCAATATTCTTGATCTGTAGAACACCAACTCGGGCCATATGTCTTTTCTCCTAAAGCTATGTAAGACGTCTGACCAACATTAGAGACAACGCTGTTGCTTTCCATAAAAGAGACCTTTTCAGTAGATTCTAGCGGCAATAGTCAACACCTAGCAAACTTAATGTAGATTGCCAAGGTGATCATTAGGAAAAGTATCTTTCCCAGTGCACTAATGTGATTCTTTTTCACTAATGAATATTCAAAAGCATCAAGTACAAACTTGTTTTCATTTCATGTTTTGCCACATGATCTGCTAGACAGTGATCACCTAGCTATCTATCTTCCAATAGATGTTCTCCAATGAAGTATAAAAATCAAGGAGAGTGTGATATTGTTTGCTCAGATAACGAAATGATTCCCATTATTTTAGATTGCTAGCGCATGTTTATTTAGAGTTTTGAATGGTTAAGAAAACCCGATAACAAATATCTCAGAAGATTACAAAATTTTGTATTCTACAGTATGTGAATAAAGAGAAAGCAACTTAAGACAAGTAAACTTATTACAGCCAACTTCTTCAAGATCACTTTAACTGTACTCCAATACATCGTTCTGAACTCAAAGACGACAAGAAACAAGACCCATAATTACATAGGATATGTCAAGGATAGCACAAGCACTTTTTTGGTCTGGCAAGATCTTATTATCAGATAGATACTACCTGGAAAATTGCATGGATATCGGGCCAGTTGACTAACTAGAATACAACATAAAACTGAAATTGCTGTTTACATGACAGAGCAAGCATTTGGATTCTCATCACTGAATATTTGAGGATGATATGCATACTCCGAGTAAAACTTGGATGGATAGTATTCACTTCGCTTGATATCATTCTTGGTATCTTCTTCTCCTTTGCCTTCTTCACCCTCTTTATTCTCTCCTTTCTCTTCCTTCTTCTCTTCTTTCTTCTCTTCTTCCTTCTTTTCCTCATCCTTCACTATGGACGCTTGCTTTTTGGTTTTCTTGTATACATCATCAACCAGCTTCGTGGGATCTACAACGCCTTTTACTATTACTTGATCATTTCCCACATCTGTTTCCACTGACTCTACACCTGTAATTAATTCCAAGCAATAACTTCAATTTTATTGTCGCAAAACACCCAATATCACATTTATTTCTTAACTTAATTCTGATATGAAAATGTTACCAGTTGAAAACACTAAAGTTTCATATATTGGATAGTATTACCCTTTAAATTATAATGCTCTTGTTGTGAGATGCTTTTGGCTATTCATTGTGTATTTTTTTGTTCAAATGATGATAATTGATAGCCTTGGTGTTTATCTGATAGCCCATCATTTTATATTTCCGAAGATAATATTTACTCTACTGTATGACTTCGTGGCTGGAGTAAGAAACATAGATATGAATGTTGAAAAGTTAAAACCTTGAGATAATCCAGAAATCAGATTGCAAAATAGCAGAGGAGAATTGCACATTATAGTACCTTGGATCTTTCGGATTCGCTTCTGCAGAACTTGAGCACATGCCTCGCAGTGCATACGAACCTTCATCACTACTGTTATCGCTGCAGGAGGCTGCCAAAGAGATTAAACCAGCAAATGGTCACAATCAACTGTAATTAATTAAAGCTCTTCCGATAATATGAATGAAATTAAGATAAAAAAATCTCTAAGACTGGCATTGCATGTTCCGTTACTATTTTTCACTTAATTAGGTGTATGCACCAAGGTAGATATGCACGAGCTGACATAAGAATCCAACAGGCTCAACACCCAATGAGAAGGAGAGATGCAAAAACAGGACAAAGCGCCTCGAACACCTTGCTGAACAAGAGCAGAATACCACCAAACACTACACCATTTATTGTATAGATATTCTTGTTCTTCATATAATCCACCTACTACTCTCCTATTACCAGAAACAAAAATCCCATTTGTCTTAAACTACAACTTTTACTAGTCAGATGTTTCTGCAGATAAAACACCAAGGACCAAGGTAGTATCTGAATATTACTAATTATACGAATAATTTAATGTTGTTGCTTTCAAAATTCTAATGAACGTAGGAGTAAATTAACTTAATCAAGTCTAAACCCGTGAGGGCTTGACCCCATGGGTGCAGCGTGCAGACTCTGAGCAGTACATGCTTGTTCCGGAACTGTGGGGTCAAAACCCTTAACAGTCTCCTTCCTCCTTGTGATATGTGCCTGTGGCCGTGGCCGACTTGTTTTGTTACTTTCAATGTCAGCACGGAAACAGCACACCGCTCACAGGTTTCACAGTATAGGTAGTTCAAACTCCAAAGCCCAAAAGGGGTTGTATTCCAATCTCTATGACATTAAAAAAGGTCTAAGCAAAAACCAACTTTAGTTGGTCAAAAATGGGCACTGCGAGTATTTATCACTCCTCTTTTTCCACTGTAAATTCATTAATACTACTATATGAGATAGTGGTGCACAATATGATTACTCATCATTATGTTTGATACCCTAACTATGAAAAACTATTCGTTGTTTTGTTACCTCTTCCTTTTTTTCTTCTTTGGGTTCTTTGTTTTCTTCCGTCTTCTCTTCTGGTGGTTTTGGCAAAGGTGAAATTAGCTCCACTTTTCTACCGCTTTTCTTTTGTAGCCTTTCGCAAACCTTGATGGGATCTGCTGTCTTTCCCTTCACCACTACCTTACTTGCCTTGCTATCTGTGGATACCTCCTCCACTCCTGTTATTATCAAACTAAAATAGTATAAACTAACACATAATATATATATAATATCAAAACTTTTTCCATTTTCTTCTGGTAACTTAGATTTTTTGGCTTCATAAGGTATTACTCATTAATTTTAATGGTTAAGATCATCATTTTTCCCTTTCTTTCTAAGTATCTTCTGTGAAAAAATGAGGAGGTTTATGTGAGCTAAATAAAAGTTGTAAAAAAGGAAGAATAATGACCTTCAAATCCTTTCAGGGCTCTTGCAACTTTTCTAGCACAAGCTTCACAGTGCATATCAACCTTGAGTACAATCTCTTGAGGCTCTTCTTCCTTCTTTCCTTCCTTTTTCTCGTCTTCCTTCTTTTCATCCTTGGCTTCTTCTTTCTTCTCCTTACCTTTGTTTTCTTCTCTGTTCTCCTTTGGTTACCATGCAAACAACATGTAATGAAACTATCAGCTCTCAGCCATGTCAGACAATTGACGAGCAAGCGTACAAAATAATTCTAACTCAGACTATACGTCAAGCCAAAGAAAAAAAAAAGGTAAAGACCAAACAACCATAATTACATAAACCTCACAAAACTGAAGGGTTAGAAGAAGAGCCGATTCAACAAGATCAGACCAAAAATTGGCTGTCATTTTAGCTGGATAAAAATGGAAATAAGAAGCCGTTTTACATGCATAACAGAATATTGCAACAACCAACAAAGACAAAACAGTTGATGTAATAATTAGGGGTCCAAAGAAACACTCACTTCACCCATTTCTGCGATGATTCCGAAAGTACTCTACTTCAGAACTTGTATCAGCAGATGCAGTTGGATATGCAAACCATGAACTTAATAGCTTGTTCACACTCGCTCCTTGCTTCTCTTTCTTTCTTTCTTCCCAATAACCTACCTTTCTCTCTCTCTCTTAGTCAGGGTCTCAGGAGAAAGAATAGATTTAAATAACATGTCTGTAGATCTGACGTGGAGTTGTTTAATGCACGGTTGACACATGTCCCTTAGCTGACTCAGCATACCATAATTTGCCCTTGTCTTCCTATTAAATTTGCTTGCAGGATAGGACCCTCGGTGGTACTGTGATCATAAAAGCAAAGGACGGTTTGGGTCATATCATAATCATACACAGATCAGAAACACTTTGCATTTCATCTCTCTGCACTTTCAAATTTCAGCATCTGCAAAATTTTAATCCCATGCACTTGAAAATTACTACAATTAAGGACAAAACCGAAGCCCCTCAGATTGAGATTGCCTGATCTAACCAAGAGTTAATTAAAGTGGTCTTAAAGCAGTGTATGTAAAGTGCGAACCTTTTGAATATTGGTTGCTGGTTCCATGCTGAGATGATTTCATACTTTTTGGTGCTGATAAAGGTCCAAAAAGATCCTGATAAGGTTTCCCTTTCCATCGATCTCAGGCAAACAAAGCTAGAATCAGGACCCCACCATGACATTCTTGGTTTGATAAAAAAATCCATCTTCATTAAGATATAGTGCTAAGTTTAATCAAGCAGGATTACAGGGTGATTGATCTGTGAATAATGAAATGTAATGGAAAGGCAACTTGTTGTGGTGCAGAGAAAGAAACAGGGTTGTCAGAGGATATGATGTATATGTAAGTAGAACAATGTAAAATATGAACAATAATTTGGAATGGAGCCCACGGTTTCGGATTCCAACTTCCAAGCCCAAGAGTGATCGCAGACACGAAAACCCCAATTTATGGTCCGCCAGGGAAGGCTATCATATCAGGAATTCTGAATTCAGGATCTTGGAAAAAAGCAAGGGAAGGGAAAGAATCAGGGTGGGGACCTTCCTTTGGGGAACCATTCAATGAATGACATTTGTGATGATAAGCGTTATCGTCATTCTTCTAGTCTCCAATGAAATCAAAGTGGCATGAGAAAAAGATGGGCTGGAAAAGAAAAGAAAAGAAAAGAAAAAAAAAAGATGATTGATCTCAGTTTCTGTCTTCACGTAAACAAGTTGACGCTCACCTCAAACAAAAGAATCTTCCACAGGCCACATCCCACATCCCACAGCCAAAGTCTCAGTACACTGGTAGGTTCAGCAGCACGCCAACAGTTAATTGGATTTCTAATGATCTGCTGATTAGAAACCATATACTAGTAATTATAGTAACAATAATGAAATGACAGCGCAAGCAATCATATATATTCAGTGCAGACATATAAATATTGCTAGGGCCATTCAAAAAGTAATTGATCCTCAGCTAATAATTGCTTGTGAGATTGAGATGAAGGTGGAAAATTTTCCTAGACTGGGAAGCGAAACGGAGATGCAAGCACTTTCCATGGATCAAAAAGGTGATTCTGAAACCTGATGTTAGAATCTCGAAAGTAAAAGCCTTGACAGTCTCACGAGAAATTGTAGAATACTAGCACAAGTGGTCGTGGTAGGTAGCTTGAAAGAAAAAACCATTCACGCTATACTCTACAGATACCGAAATAATTACTTCATTAACTTCGCCTGCATGCCGCTTATGGTGATTATGGTGATGTCAACATACCAAATATGCTTTCTTCTCCTTCTTCTTTTCTCCTATTTTTCATGTATGAAAGGCAATAGAAATTCATTGCAAAGCTAGGTTCTAGTAAAACAACTAAAACTCATTAGAAGGTGCCCGACCACTGCTTGCTTGGTTGGCTGCACTTAGAGCACTGAAACGGGAAATAAAGGAAACATAATCATCCTCTGTCGCACCTATTATTTTAGCCTTTACCTTCTCAGTTGGTCGGGTCAATGGTCGTATCCCCATTTCTTTCGTGCCTAATCCTATGGCCTTTTTTCTTTGGTTGTGTCCCTAATCCGTTGCTTACTTGCTTAGACAGAAACAGAAAGAAAAATCCTTCGCCTACCAACAGGCCAGGCTATGGAGTTAACGCTTTAGAGTTGAAACCCTTCGGAACTCTTTTGGGCCGATAGAGGACACATTGCTGGGCCAGTTGAGACTAACACTTACAGGAATACCAGAACCAAACCAAGAGACCAAGGAAAGAGGCTGACCTCAAAAGTTTTGGGTTTTCAAGCTTTGGGCAAATATCTTTCAACCCACAACAACTATTATTGAAAACAAACAAGAATGTCAGATAGAAAAATATGTTCTAGGCGGACACATTTCAAAGAACTTAAGCTATTTTAAGCAGGTTTGAGAGCGGAATGTGACAAACAACAGCTTAGTTTAGCATGTGATGCCTGCAGTGGTCGAATTTAACCCTCTTACAAAATACACGTGGGGACGACGCATGTCCAAATACTAAACTAAATATAACAAAAAAACAGACGCATTCTGACAAAGTATATATATATTAGTAGTAGTAGTATTTTTTGTTTTGTTCCTTTTAAGTTATGATTATAGATAGAACGTCAAGATGCCTCCATGAAAGTCATCCCATAAGGAATTAAGAAAGATCGGGGATTAAAATCCTTCAATGCGTTGACAACCTCGCTTGATTTTGGTCAAATTAATGACAAACCTCCATAACAATCCTTCTTCCTACCGTAAACAACGTTGGCTCCAATTAAACTTGAGTTCGTTAGTTGTGATAACATATTTTAGTTTGGTCAATTTGTCGAAAGGGTAAGAAGTGCCAATCAATCCCGCACATGCAGAACCAAAAATTCGATGTCCGATAGATTCAATATTATCAAGGTGCAAAATCCTAACATATAATGACAATCTTAATCAGCGTCCTATGCTGGATTCTCATTGGCCGTGTATCAGTGCATGGAGTCAGAGCCCTCGGTCTATTTTAGACGCTAGCTAGCTTAATTAGTTTTCATAAGACACCACCATCTCTTAATTTTCTCTCTTTCGTCTCTGTTTCACCCAGACTGTTTATCTTTCTTTGATAAGAAGCCACCTGTCTTATTACTAGATTTCATCGACCATCCACTGCCATGGCAGAGGTGTGAACATCTTGTTTATTTACTTTTATGCTGTGGTAGTAGTATTTTCCCTGTGTTGTCTATCCTTACCAAGAGTACTGCTAGTGTTTTTTATGTTTCATGAACTTATTCAGATCCAATTTTGTTTTTCCCAATAACGACATGATTTGACAGTTTGCAATGCATGACAAATAGTACGCTAGATGTATCATTGTCATAAATAAAACGTCAGAAAGATAACTGGCAATTACAAGAGTTAATTAAAGACATAAATTTAAAGTAGTATAAACTATTATAAAAATATGTTTTCTTAAATGGACACACCATGACACTATTGATTTGTTGTATGTAAGCATAGCCTGAGGTCATACAATTAATTTTTATCCACCTATCCATTGTATATTGAATGATAATAGCATTATTACAGGCTACAACAATGGTGTTGAAAGTAGACCTCCAGTGCTACCGCTGCCGTAAGAAGGTCAGGAAAGTGTTCCGTAAATTTCCATGCAAGTCTGATCCCTTCTTTTACTCATTCTGTCTGTTTATGCATGCAAAGAAAATTTTTGGAAGGAAGCCGATTAGGTTTACGCGTGATGTTTGAACATAAATAAGAGATCAGAAATACGACGAGAAGGCAAACACGGTGACGATCAGTGTGGTATCTTGCAATCCTGAGTCCATCAGGAGCAAGATATGCGTCAAGGCAGATAGTTGCATTAAAAGCCTTGAGATTAAACCTAAAGAAAAACCAGGTACTGATAAGAATACAAAATCTGAAGACAAAGATAAATCTGGCAAGGATAGACCTAAAGAGCCTGAGAAGAAAAAATACCAAACGATTAACATAGTAGGGATATTTTGTAAGGAATGCCATATATGGCATCGAGAAGGGCCGTGCGAGAAGAGTAAAGGTGTTCCATTCAGACTCGCATGCAATGAGAATTGTGGGAAAGAGTTTGGTGTGGTGGGTGTGGCGGTAGTGGGTGCAAAAGCTGCTCAGGTCATGGGTGGATCAGCTGGTATTAAAGCAATTGTAGCAGCAAGCCTTGTAAAGGGTGTGGCAGCTCTTCCTGTAGCGGATGCGAAGGCTTGTCTTGGTCCTGTAGTGGGTACAGCAACTGACACTGTAAAGGTTGCTGAAGCTCTTCTTGCAACGGCCGATCTTGCGGTGGGTACAACAACTGGGCGTGTAAAGGGTGCGGCGGCTCTTCTTGCAGCTGCTGAAAGGACGGGTCATGCAAGCGGTGCGGTAACTTTTCCTGCAGTGGTTGTAGTGGATGTTCTTGCGGTAGGTGCACAAGCTGTTCTATAAGCCGTTGTCACTACGAAGAAAGATCAACAAGTTGTATAATAATGTAAGATGCTAGTGCCTGCAAGAAGAAGAAGAAGAAGGATGTTTGAAGTTTCCTTTTTGCATGTGTTGACGTGAGCGTGTGTGAGGTTTCGACGTAGAAGAAAGATCAATCAATGATGTGCTTTGGCTTTGTCGTTGGTTGATCACTGTATGTATGTTGCTTTCCATGATTCCTTGCGTTGTTATCATTTTATCAATAATATATTTAATAAAAGCTTATCACGTTTTTATCTTATTGGTAATATATTTTTAAGTTTAACCTCTTATCATAGTAGTCGTTTGGGCTCGGAAGACGATGTTTGAGAGTTTTGGTCTTGAACAAAAGTTAAGAAACCCTAGCATGTATCATGAAGTCCATTTCTCGATTGCAGAATGGACGAGCTTTTCCTGAGCCCACTGGGAAATTTAATTCAACCTTGCTCATTACATCTTTAGTCCGGCCCGGAATGGCCTGATGACACAATGAACCCTTTGCCTGGTTTGAGTCTCTAGCTTGGACCAACATCGTTGCTGTGGCACAACCGCACAAGAAAGGAGGCAACAAGGTACAACCAAAACATTAACATAATTTACGATTTTCAGAAGGTTGAAAGGGAGATAGATAGCATCTTCAAAAAGTCAGAGACAGCATAAACATCACTACAGGAGTGCCCA